CAGTGCACGACGAGTTCCGCACGGCCGCGGTGGACGGGCCCCACCTGCACTCCAACATGGAGGACTGCGGCTACAACATCCCGCAGACGGACGAGTCCACCCTGATGACCATCGCCTACGTCATGGCGGCCATCTGCGCCCTCTTCATGCTGCCCCTCTGCCTCATGGTGTTCCAGTGGCGCTGCTTCCGCTGCCTGCGGCGGGACCACGACGACTTCGCTGACGACATCTCCTTGCTGAAGTGATGGCGGAGCGCGGGCGCAGCCCCGGGGCCGCAGGTGAGGCAGCAGGGCGGGGGCCTTGCTCCGGGGGCTGGAGTGTGGTGGCAGCGTGGGGAGCTCGGAGCCTGTGCCCGGAGCCTGGGGACTCGGTGTCCGTCAGGGCCAGCAGCCGGGGGAGCCCCAGGCCCGGGCTCCATTCATCTGGGACCTGCAGCAAGAGCGTGGCAGCTGGGCAGGGGGAGAGCTCAGCTGCCCCATCCTGGGAACTGGGGGCGTGTTCCAGCACCAGGACAGGACCAAGCTCTCCCACCCAGCCTTGCCTGGCTTGATGGAGTGACGCTGATGAGCCATCCCCTGCCTGTCCCCTTCCATCCCTGTGCATCCCTTTGCAGCTCGCCCCGCTGGGAAGCTGCCAGCCCAGCCTCTCTTATAGGGAGCTGTGCTGCAGCTGTGCCTCCCCTGTGACTCCCTGCACTGAGCCAGACTCCAGGAATCATCCTGGAGCCATCCAGCCTCGAGCTTTTCCAAGACAGCCCTGCAGGGCCAGCCTGGGCTGCCCAGACAGGGCTTTCCCTGCTACCCTGCTGCCCTTACGCCGCTCGCTCTGACATTTCCCCTGCATTTTCCTGCCTTCCCGAGCTGTGCTCCTGCTGCCGCTGGCCCCAGGACTCCCTGCACCCCCCTGGGACAGGCAGGAGCAGGCACCCATCCTCTCCCCACGTCACATGGGATGGGAAACTCCCTGCCCTTGCTTCCAGCAGCGGCTGCCACGCAGAAGCCAGTGCCAGGAGTGAGGTTCCCAGCCCTGGCAGCGGCTGCTCCCCAGCCCAGCCAGCCCTTCGAAAGCCATAGGGGAGCCTGGGCCCCCCCTGCAGCCCCCCAGCTCAGCTCAGCGCATCCCACGGCACAGCAGCTCCTCTCTGCTCACTCCACACGTCCAGGCCCGGCTGTGGGACACCCCGGCATCCTGGGGACAGGCGGCAGCTGTGGGAACTGCAGCATTTCTTGTTTTTTTAAACACATGGTTGTATTTATTTTTGTTTTTTTACAAAGCGTGTCGCTGGTAGCGCAGCTGCGCGTTGAGAGCGTGTACAGAGCCGGTCCCACGTGTACAGACCACGGCTGCCTCTCACCTGTACAATATATCCATATATCTCTATTTTTAATTCTAGCCCTGAAAGCCACTGTTCCAACATTAGGGGTCGGTCCTGTTTTGTTTTGGGGTTTTTTTTAAATATTTTTAATCTTCTGTTCAGTCCTTGGCCACTGTGGCCACCGCCCAGGGCCAGGGCTCGGGCCACAGCCGCGTGTTTGGAGGGAGCACATGATGGTGAGGGGGTCCCAGCTGGCTTGAGGAGGGGGTGCAGGGCTGGAGCACACAGAGCAGTGGCTCACAAGCCCAAAGGACCCTGAGCACAGGAGGCACCTCTGTCCTCGTGGTGTTCCTGCAGCACGGGGAGGATTTTCCAGTGTGTGAGGACTCCTCCCTGTGCTGCAGGATCACCGTCCCTTCCCCAGAGCAGACACCTGTGACCTTGCAGGCAGTGGTAGTGCTGTATTCCCTTGCTTCTCTGCCTCCAGCCTGGATAGGAAAGAGCCCAAACACGGAGATTGCACAGTTAAAAGGCATCACTTCTCCATGAACAGAGGGGATACCTGCAGTGTCAGGGCTGAGCTGGCGGCTGCCCCGCAGAGCCACCGAGTCAGGCAGGGACAGACTGAGGAGCCACAGCAGTCACCGAGCATAAAGCTTGTGAACTAAATCCTGCAGCCAAAGGTTTCTTTGGGAGAGCAGCGAGGGGAGCCAGGAACCGCAGGCAGCGTAGGAGACCAGCCAGCCCTCGCATGGGGCACTGCCACAACAGCCCCCACGCTGCCCCTGCTCACCCCCACCGCGCTCACAGAGCCCCCAGCCTCGCTCCAAACCCGCACCCAGCCGCTCCCTGCGAGAGGGAAGCGTTCTCCCCCCACCCTCGTGCCTGCCCAGGACCCCCAGGACCCCAGAGACTCTGTTGTGGACCACTGCCTTAAAACGCCGCGAGCGCGCTCGCCGGAGGAGCCGGGCTGCGGCGGGTTCAGCGCCCAGGGCTGCTCCCCTGCCCTCCTCCCGGGGCAGCAGCGCCCAGCTCCTGCCGCAGAGCGCGAGGAAGCCGGGGGGGAACTTTTAGAGAGTCATTGCAAGATTTTCAGTGGTGCTGAGCACCTCGCAATCCCACCGAAATCCATGGAGAAAGGGTTGGCGCGTCAGCCCTGCTCGAGGAGGAAGCAGAGGAGAGGGGAACGCAGGAATTTTGCCAGGTTGGTTTATCCCGAGCTGCAGCGCAGCCGTGTCCGTCCGCTCCCTCCCCAGGGCCCAGTGACAGGGATGGGATGGGATTGGGACCGTGGGCTGTCGCTGGAGGCTCCAGTACTCTGTAACCCAGTGTCTATGTAAGAACAATGAATGTTAACACGGTAAATTATTATGACATTAAAAAAAAATGACCACAAGAAATTGGCTCTTCTTCTGCAATTTGTTCATTGGCAAGAGGGGGATAAAACCAGGTGATGACTGGCAGGGATGTGGGGGTGGTGAGGCCATGAGGAACGGCCCTAGGGAAGGAGCTGATGGGATCCAAGTGGGAAGAGGCAGTTCCCAGCAAGCAGGGAACACTGATGCTCATTTGGAAAAAGCCAGCAAGGGTGCACAGTAAGAAATGAGGAGCTGCAGCAAATCACTGCATAATATACACACTTTATTTATGAATTTGTATGTTTACAGACTTTCTATACACACATTACCTATATAATAAAAATGTACATGTGTATACATGATCGTATAAATATAGAACTGTAGAAATCTTAGAACTGATCCTGTCTATTCACAGCAACTCCTCCCAGGGGCCCGTGTTGTCCCAACAGCCGTCATTTGAGGCTTGGGCAAAAAGGGCAAGTGTCATTCGTGTTGGTTTGTGCCCAGAATTTGATGCACTGGAAGAGAAAGAATTGGTCAAGAGCCACTGGCCCAACCCAAAGGTGCCATCATTGTCCACAGCGCTCGCTTCAGGGATGGTTTCCTTTGCCCCCTGCAGCCTCCATCACAAGGTCACCTCGGGGAAGGAGCCCTTGTCACCCTTGCAGGACTGCCAGGCCCTCCTCAACATGAGTTTCCATTTCTTTGAGGGGCCACTGCTGGAGGCCCCAGAGCTGTTGGGATGGGGGGCTGCCCACACAAGTGACTCACTGCCAAACCCATGGATAGGAAAGTCTCCACCTCTTCCCAAGAGCTCCTGGCATCCCCAGCCCAGACACCTGGGCAGCAGTGGCAGCTCTCCCCTCACCCTGTGTTCCAGATCCTTCCAGACTGTCCTGCTCCAGTACCTAAACCTCCCAGACACAGCACAGGCTCAGGGACACAAGGGCAGCCTGTTCCTAAAGCTGCCATCCACTGGCCACGCAGGGTGGCCCAGCCAAGAGTACGGAAAGGATGGGATGACAGGATGCAGGGAAGCTGTTTATTGATCATACCCCTCTCCTGGCAAGGTGTCAGCACAACAAGGACTCGGGAAGGGTCGTTTGGAAGGACCAGCAGAACACACTCACCTCCTTGTGCAGCACATGTGAGCAGGCCATGGGGTGAAGGTCACCGGGCTGCACGAGCTTCTGGCACATCAGACACAGCTTACAGGCAGCTGGGGTCTGGGATGGGTAGTGAGGGAAAGAAAGCAGGCAAGGAAGTCAGACACACAGCTCTGATCAGGTTCAGCTGAAAGCCGAGGCCACAGGCTGCCCAGTCCCCTCTCTACCCACAGCCATCACACCCTGAGAGCCACCATCGTCTCTCCGTTCCAATGTGAAACACAGGATCTGTGCCCCAATCCTCCCCTTCACCTCAGCAGTGGGTAGCTGTGTGAGGAGAGAGCTCCCAGCTGCAGGGGCTCATCCCTTCAGGCTCCCCCCTCCCCAGGGAAGCCAAGCAGCCTTACGTGTGACGCTGTTCCCGGGTAAGCGACCTGGGCCGGGGGCAGGAACATGGGCGTGCTGATCTGAGGCAGTGGAGCAGAGAACATGGGGGCCCTGATCCGGCCCAGAGGCTGCAGCAAGGCAGAGGAGGCACATCAGAACAGCCCGGGAGGAAAGGACAGAGGAGTCGCCCCGAATCACCTCGGGGAAAACCGTTCCCTGGTAACGCTGCAGTCAGCAGGACAGGGAACCCAGGGGACAGCCCTGACGCACAGCCCAAGCTCTGTGGGGAACCAGCAAGCAGAGGCAGCTCTCCTGATCCCCAGGGCCCCCTTCCAGCAGCCCCCACGCTGACCCACCTGCGCTCCAGCTGCTGCCCGCTCCTGCTGCTCTGCCAGCTTGGCCGCCACCAGCTGGTTCAGCTCCTCCATGGTCAGGCCGGCCATGGTCCTCCGGGCAGTCTTGATCTGCTGCAGGATGTTGGTGAGCTGGGCCCTGCGTGGACAGCAGCCTGCTAAGAGTTCCCAGCCCTCACAGACTGGGATCCCTCAGCCACCACTGCCTGGGGGAAGCCGTGTGCTTCCCCTCCACCCTCCAAGTGAGGAGAGTGCCGTGCCGAGCCTCCCTCCCCAAAACACTGGGGAAAGAGCAGGGAACCCCCAGAGACAGGCTGGGGGGCTCCTGGCTGTGCCCAGATATCCTGCAAAGCTCCCAGTGATCCCCACTGCCAGCACTACAGCAAACCTGACGGAGAGCTTTACCTTTGCCTGCCTCACTTCCCACAGACCCCACTCACAGCCTTCCCCTGATCCCAGCTCCCACTCCACGCACGAGCCCAGGCCCTCCCGGAAAACACCAGCAGACCCTTACTTGTTGCACTGTGGAAACCGAGTCAGCAGCTTCTCCAGCAGCTTCTCCAGCTTGTCGGCCGGCTGGGGCCGGTGGAACTCGGGAGCGACGCTCACCCCGCCCAGGCCGGGCGGAGGAGGGATGGAGGCGGCGGGGGGCATGTGGGGGCTGTGCGTGCCAATGAGCGATGCCACCACCGGGCTGCTCCTCCCCTGGGAAGCGGGCAGGGGTGGGGAGGGCTGGTTGGGCCTGGACATGGCGGGGTTCAGCAGAGGGAAGGACAGCGCCCGAGGATCGGCGCTCGGCATGACCATGGGCACGGGGACGGGCCCGATGGGGAAGGGGAGTCGGGGGGTCAGGGATGGGCTGGGCTGGAATGCCGTCAGCATGAAATCTGTCTGAGAAAGAAAAACAGGGGAAGAGGGAAAGGCTGGTTAGAGTAAGACCACCTGGAAGCAGAGCCGGGTGCGCTCTTCTCCAGCCAGAGAAATGGGAACTGCAGGCACTGGCAGCTGGAAAGGGAAGGAGACCCTTCCCCTCCTCTCTAGTAAGCCCAGACAGGGAATGGGCCATCCCACACACGCACAGCAGCAGGCAGGCTGTGCCAGGGCCTGGCAGCATGGAATGCCCGTGCTGTGGGGCTGGAGAGGCACTCACTTCCGAAGGCGGAGGAGGCAGCGTCGGCGTCGGGATCTGGGGGAGGCTGCTCAGCTTTGTGCCATTCCTCACCATCTGGATGTGGTCGTTGAACTGATCCTGGCAGAGAGGGAAGAAAACGGGTGCATTTATCTAACCTGAGCAAGTTTGGGGCACTCTAAGCCAGGGGGTGGCAGGCCCTTAAGTGGCACTGTGGTTTGGCTCCACAGAAGAATGGAAGAGGAGCTGAAGGGAGGAACACGGCATGTGTGAAGAACTGCTCACTGCTAGGCTGGGAGAGGTCAGCAGGAACTTACTCGGACACTTTGCTTGGTCATTCGTATCCTGTTCAGCCTCATCTCCCACTCCTGCTTTGGCCTCATGGTCTCCAGCGTGGGTGGCGCAGACCTGCAAGCACAGCTGAACTTTCCCACTTGCAACTGTGCTCTCACTGGCAGCAAAGTGGGAGCAAGCAGCCCCCAGAGCCCCGTGGCTTCCCCTCCTCCAGCAGGGTGGGAAGGGCTCACCCCCAGGTGAGGCACCCCACAAGGAAGAGGGACTGATGTGGGGACACACAGGAACACCACAGTAAACAGCACTGACTGGGCCTGGCAGATGAACAGTGACAGGGGATGAGCACAGCCCCACTTGCTGTGTGACATTATTGAATCACATCGATCCAGTAAGAAAACCACAGGAAATCTGAACTATTCTAGTCCAACCTCCAGCGTAAGCAGAGCAAGAGGAGAAGGGACACAGGGACACCTGAGTGACCCTGCCTGCCACTTCTGACACAACACAGACTCACTTGAGGTAGGTGAGGTGTAGCTCTGCTTCTTTTTCTGCTTCTTCCAGCTTCAACACCAGCAGCTCCTTCCGGCTCTCCAGGGACAGGATCTATGGAAACAGGCTCGGGTTTTGTACTCCCATTTTTTGCTGCCAGACCAGGCACTGGGCACTGCTCCCCACTAATGCTCACTGCACTGATACTTGCTCATCATTCCTCCTATCCCACAAAGCGGGACTTGGCCTTGCCCTCAACTGCTCCTGATTTCACAGAACTGCCCATTAACCATCTGGAATCTCAAACCCATCACTTTGCAGGGAAGAAGTCAGCTGCTCACCTCTGCTTTCCAGGCTCGTTCCGTCTCCTCAAGAATATTCCTGTTGATTTCATTGTGCTGGTTCTTCAGCTTGTCCAGCTCCATCTCCCACAGCTGCCTGCACACACAACACAAGGAGTCCCCTTGGGCTCAGGCACCGGAATGGCCGCAAAGGGATCGATCTCAGGAGCTCTGGATGGGGTGGAGCCATGGAAGATCAGCAGCCTGGAGCCTCAGAGTCTGGAGACTGTGACACCAGCCCCAGCTCCCTGGGCTGCGTGAGTCAGAGCTGTTCCAGAGCACACAAACAAGCGGTGTGCAAACACACAGGGCAAAACGAGGGGAATTCCCCTCGGCAAAATTCAGTCCAACCCCAGGGAAGATCTGAAGCAGGAATCAACCCCAGCTGCAGGCAGAGCTATGCTGTTCTGATCCTGGAGAAGTGTAAAGCTGGGCATTCCCACCTGTGCTTTGGGAACACCTGGATCTGGAGCATCCCTGCCCAGCTTTAAACACCCGAGCGTGCCAGAGTTTAGTGTAGCTGGACAGCTGTGGGGGACAGACAGGGAAATCAGCCTGCCCTAATTCTGGGGAGCTGAAATTCCATCAGAAGTAGCAGTTACAAGCTGAGTCAGTCCACCAAGCACAAACTCTAATCTTATGGGATCTTCATGTCACAAGTATCCAGGAGTCTGCTTTGCCTGGGATCAAAGAAGATTTAATCCAGAGCCCTGATGCTGCAAGAGGAGATAAAACCTCTAGAGCACGTAACTGGCCAGCACTGCTGGATCATTGTCTCTACTCTGTCCCAGTCAAGAGCACTGGATTCACTCTGAGGCACACTGACAGGAAGGAACAGTGCACTGGGCAGCATTAATCAGGTGAAGGATAAGAGCCTTACTTCTCATCAGACTGCTCTGCAATCAGAGAGGCAATCTTGTTTTCCTTCTCCTCCTGCTCCTTCAGCAACCTGCAGAGGAG